ATTTGAAATTTTTATAACTTTAGAACATAAGGTACCACAAAGTGGAATGCCTTCTTAACAACTCAAACTCTTTGTGGGATGATAGAGTTCTGTCCTGTTTTTGGAGTGATCTTACCAGAGCTTTAAGTGCTTGGCCCTGTTGACATCACAATCTTTGTTCATATTAAAAGGCAGAATTCATGCCTAAAATTCATTGAGTAATTGCCCATTTAAGACAGGACTAAAAAGCTTATTTCTTTAACCTTATAATTCTACTTTTTCTGAGATTGCTGAATAGTAAACTAGATCAAGAACTTTATATAAGGAGAAAAAGAGATGGTGAAGGCTTCATTAACAGGGAATACAAGGCAGTATAATATAAACTGAAACTGTATTAAGCAAAGACCCAAATACCAAATAATATATATGTACACCTCTCTCTCTCTCTCTCTCTCTCTCTCTCTCTCTCTCTCTCTCTCTCTCTCTCTGTATCTCTCTGTTTTTAATTGTGTGTGCATGTGTGTGTATGTGGTTGTGCACACACAGTCATAGAGATGCCCTCAGAAGCCAGAGATGTCATCTATTCCTATAGAGGAAGAGTTATAAGCAATTGTGAGCCATTTGGTATGGGTGCTTGAAACTTAATTTGGATCCTCTGTTAGAGCAGAGGCAGGTACCTGATGAACCGTCTCTATCCCCCAAAACATTTTTTTCTATTGACATTGCTTGACACAAGAACATTGCACCTAAAATCATTGTAACTCAGAAGAGGAGGATAATAATCTATAGAACTTTAATGTAGTAGCATGGGTTAAGGTTCACATACTGTCAAGAATCAATAGTTTGGTTTTGTTGATTACTAGCTATAACTTGAGCAATCTTATTTACTTAAAATAGGTTCAGAGAAGCATTTAGTGACTGAAACCATTACAGGCAATGTAGGTGTTACAATGGCAGAATTAGCCAAAGGGGCACAGGAAGAATTTCAGGTTGAAAGTTCCATCTCATGTTTTCTACATGAATTCTGACTAACTGCCAGGAAGTCTCAAATACAGAGTGTTCTTTGAATGTGGCCAGAAACTTTGAAAGCCATGGAATGAGCACCTCTCGATGATACCATATTCTTCTTCAATAGAAGTTCTGGAAGATGAAACTGTTACCAGTATTCAATTGTCCTTACTAAATAAAAAGGGAGAGTTTGGACATCTTTGAGAAGAATGTAACATAGTCATTTGATCTGTTTAGAAACAGGGGGTCTCTGCTGGTTGGCAGCAGAAGTGTACATGAATTCACAGAAACAAAAGTGTCATGGAATCATTATTTTTGCAGAAGATGGAAATGATATTGTGCCAAGAAATCCAGTTAAGAATGGCCCCTATCAATCTTACTAAAAGTAAGCTACAGATTCAATGCAATGTTCATCAAAATCCTAGCAAAATTCTTCACAGATCTCGAAAAAATGGTACTCAACTTCATATGGAGAAGCAAAAAACCCAGGACAGCCAAAACAATCCTGTAAATTAAAAGAATTTCTGGAGGCATCACAATCCCTGACTTCAAACTCTACTACAGAGCTACAGTACTGAAAATAGCCTGGTATTGGCATAAAAACAGACAGGAGGACTAATGGAACTGAATGAAAACCCGGATATTAATCCACACACTTTTGAACACCGGATTTGAGCAAAGAAACAAAAAATATCAAATGGAAAAAGAAAACATATTTGACAAATGGTGTTGGCATAATTGGATATCAATATGTAGAAGAATGAAAATAAACCCATATCTATCACCATGTACAAAACTCAAGTTTAAATAGATCAAAGACCTCAACATAAACCATCCACACTGAACTTCATAGAAGAGGAAGTGTGAAGTACATGTGAATGCATTGGCACAAGAGACCACTTCCTAAATATAACTTCAGTAGCACAGGCACTGAGGGAAACAATTAATAAATGGGACCTCCTGAAACTGAAAAGCTTCTGTAAAGCAAAGGACACAGTCAATAAGACAAAATGACAGCCTACAGAATGAGTAAAATATCATCACCAACCTCACATCAGACAATGGTCTGATCTCCAAAATATACAAAGTACTCAAGAAATCCATCTTCAAAAAGAAAAAAAAAAAAAAAACAAATAATCCAATAAAAAGTGTAGACCTAAACAGAGAACTCTCAACAGAGGAATCTAAAATGGCTGAAGGACACTTAAGGAAATGCTCAACATCCTTAGTCATTAGAGAAATGAAAATCAAAACAGCTCTGAGATTCTATCTTACACCTGTATGAATGGCCAAGATCAAAAACACTGATGACAACCTATGCTGGAAAGGATGTGGGCTAAAGGTAACTTTCCTACATTTCTGGTGGAAATGAAAGCTGGTACAGCCCCATTGGATATCAGTGTGGTGATTTCTCAGAAAATTAGAAAACAACCTTCTTCAAGACCCAGAAATACCACTTTTGGGTAAATATCCAAATGATGCTCAACCACGTCACAAGGACATGTACTCAATTATATTCATAGCAGCTTTGTTAGTCATATCCAGAATCTGGAATCAACCTGAATGCCCGTACTGAAGAATTGATAAGGAAAATGTGGTACATTTACACAATTCAGTACTACACAGCAGAAAAAAATAATGAAATCTTGAAATTTGGAGAAAAACAGATAGAGATAGAAAACATCATTTTGAATGAGGTAACCCGGGTCCAGAAAGACAATTATCATATGTACTCACTCATAAGTGGATTCTAAACATAAAGCAAAGAAAACCAGCTCACAAATCACAATCCTAGAGAACCTAGAGAATAACGAGGACTCTAGGAGATTCATACATGGATCTAGTATATATGGGAAGTATAAAATTGGGAGCATGGGGACATTGGGAGAGGGTTGAAGGGAAAGGGAGAGTCATGGATGGGAGCAGAAAAAAAAGTAGACCTCAATAAAAACAAAAAAGAATGGCACCTATTCTGACAGCCAGAGAGAAAATGGGGACATCAGTGATATACCTACCTAAATCAGAAAGAGAGTTTACTCAACCAGCAGGATAAGAGTAGAAATTTACCACAAAACCATGATAAAACACTGCACACAGTTATTGGAGAAATAATATATAGGCATAGGCTACACTTTTGAGCAGTGGCTCTCAATCTTCCGAAATCTTCAACCATTAAATGCAGTTCCTCATGTTGTGATGATCCCCAATCATAATCTTAGTTTTGTTGCTCCTTCATACCTGTAGTTTTGCTAGTGTAATGAATTGAGGTATAAATATCTGTGTTTTCTTTGGCAGCCCCTAGGAAGGGTTCCTTAACTCCCCAAAGAATCAGCGCCTATAGGTTGAGAACCATTGGTCTAGAGAGTCACAATTACTTTCTCCAAAGACCAAGATCTAAATCACTCCAAAATTTTTCATCAAAAGGTTTATTTTTAAATTTTTATTCTTGTGTGTATGTGTCTGTGTGTTTGTGCATTTTGTGCAGGTTTGTGAAGACAAAAAAGTCATTGGATTCCCCTGTAGGTGGAGGGGATTGCCTGATATAATCAGTAGCTTCTGAACTCAGGTCTTCTGAAAGGGCAGAAAAAATCATAATTGATAAGGCATCTCCCCAGCACCTCTAAAATCTTAACTAATAAATCTTAAGCTAAGCCATGTTCTTCTGTATCCTGGGTATACAAGCATAAATGGTTGGGAAAAAGAAGAAGAGGAGGAAAAGGAGGTCGAGGAGGAAGAGGAGGAGGAGAAATTCTTTCTGATACATTCTTTAATTTAAAAAGAAAATATAATGTTACTTTGGGGGAAAGATCAATACAAAATTTACCCACTAGCAGAATTCAAGGTTGGCAGCAGGTACAATGAGGAAGACTCTAATAATCAGTGTGAAAGTTCTATTGTATAAAGTGAAATGTAATCCTTATTGACCTTAAAGCTCACTGAAGCGAAGAGAGGCATAATGAACTTTCTGCTAGTGAGACAGGCAAAGTTCTCCTGAGCAGTTTAAGAAGAGGATGACCATGACAGGACTAGGCATGCTTCATGGGCACCTGGCATCTAAGGAACTGGATAAGTCCACCTAGGCATGATTCCATAAAGAGGAAAGTTTAGAGAGAAAATGGTACACAGTATGAACTTAAAGAAAAAAAGATAGAAGAGGAAAATACCAGGATAGAAAAAACGGAGTCCAGCCTTCATTTCTATGTAGTGGCATGCAAGAGAAGGCATCTAAGTTGTCTAAATCTTAAGCTGTTTAATTGCAGTCTCATGCAGATGAGCTACATCTCATATGTGGCTGCCTACCCTGCTCCAGGACTCACAGACTGTCCTGCTCTAGTGTCACACATCATCAGGTTACTCATGCTAGCCCCCCTCTCCCCTTTGAACATCTTGAGTTCTTGGAAGGGTTCTGATCCTACTCAGGGATATGGGAACTAGGAATCTGGATTCTGTTATAGAAGAAAACATTTTTTTTTAACTTGAGAAGTTTTGCAACTGTGAATATGAAGAATTCATCACCTGTGATTATTCCCATGATGTTCCAGAAAAGGTGACTCCTACTGCCAGGATTTCTGTAGGCCATCTGTGCCAAAGGCAAATGTCATAAGACTCATGTCCCTCCCTTTCACCATTTGTGAAGACTCTTCTACCCTACCCTGTTGCATATAAAAGACCTACCAGTACACAGTCTGGCAGATTTATTCTTCCCAGCTGTCTGGTAAGTGTGTTTACAAGAGGAAGACTCCTCAGCATAGGCTAGTCTACTTAGTTCTGAGAAAAGAGACAAAGAAATGTTATAAAATATTCTACAAGTATTGGTAACTCAGGAGAGGGCCAAGCTGACTTTCTATTCCTAGGGCTATTATATATTCCAAAAATCTTGAGAGAAGGAGTTGAGTATATGGGGATGCCAGACAGCCTTCTTGAACTAAGAAATTAAGAGACAAGAGACTTTGTTTAGGATCAAGATAGCTATGTTCACCACTCCTAAAATTTTCTTCTCTTTTGCTTCAATAGAACTGCTGATTTGGAATTTAAATCTAAGACTCCCCTCTGGTCAGCATGGCTCGGAACAATACATGCCATATCCTGTTTGCATGCCTGATGCTCCTGGCATGCTGCCAAGGTAGGCTTGATGCACCATGATCCCTACAGACCTGAAGGCTTTACTCCATTCCTATAGATATTTGTGTTCTTTTGGAAGGGGCATAGTAAACGTTGGAGGTTATAACTCCACTAATCACAATGAAATAGATCATCAACTACAAGAAAATTTGAATTGGGATATTAACTTATCCCTTGTCCATGACAACTAATGTTTTCTTATTTGTTATGACTAAATCTAGACATCCTTATTAATATATGGAGGCTTTATGCAGGGACTCTTATGTAAGAAAAGGCATAAAATACAAAAGAAAGGTAACAGCTTCAAAGGAAAAAATAAAGATACAATTGGGGAAAAAAATTCCAGAAATGAATAGTGAGCTATTGTTTCAAAGAAAGAGAGCCTGGCAATAAAAAGTAAGAAAGGAGGATAGAAGTCAACCTACTGTCTGTCTTACATCCTTGCATGCCGAGAGAGGGGCTTACTTCAACAACAGGTATCTCAGCATCCAGGCTTTGCCCAATTGTTGACATCTCCTTCACTCTCCTCTTTTACTCTCTAGGCAAGAAGGCTGAAGAAGGCTTGCCCATACCTGAGAACGATCTTCCTTCTGCCAAGATCAACTGCCCAGAAGGTGCTAATGCCTATGGTTCCTACTGCTACTACTTTGTGGAAGATCGTTTGACCTGGGGAGAGGCAGATGTAAGTGAAAAGAGAAATATTAGAAGAGAAAGGTATCTGAAGGTAGAGAGTGTTAACCTTTTCTAGTTGCTTCATAAGGTAGGGTTGATCACCTATTTGCCCCACCTACCTGAGTTTGTCCCTTGCTGGTGACTTTTACTCTGAATTTTCTGGGCAGAAATCTTAAGGCTGAGTCATGGTATCATCGGGAGGATTTCTGCACTGTCCTTTTCCTCCAACGTTCTTTAGTGGGGCTAGTATATTGTTTAAAACAGCCCTTCTCCATTGAGCAATCTATTTTCTGTCTGCATGCTTACAGCTCTTTTGCCAGAATATGAATTCGGGGCACCTGGTGTCAGTGCTCAGCCAGGCCGAGGGCAACTTTGTGGCTTCTTTGGTTAAGGAGAGTGGTACTACAAATGCTTATGTCTGGACTGGTCTCCATGATCCCAAAAATGTGAGTATGTGACCACTTATCTCCTAATACACAGGTGAAGGTGAAGTGGGAGAATCAAGTCTAGATTGTAAAAAGCCAATTTTACAACACGTATAGAAAAGCAATGTATTTGTTGATTCTAGAATATATGAGCATGTTGAGGTTCACTGCAGGTTGTTATGGAGATAGCTACAGCTCAACTTGTTAAAAGCTCCATGTATGCATGGTTAATCGTATTGCTTTTACTGAGATGTGTTTTTTTACATATTCATTACTCTTTATTGTGTATCTTGTAGATTTGTGTTAGAAGAAAATTCTTTTGCGATGACAGAAGAAAACAATTTATTGCCTGATTTAGGTGAATCTGTTGCTTTACCAATCCAGCCAGTCCTATCTAGTGTTATACTGAAAGTGGTTAGCGTTAACTTCAAGAAAGAGACTCTAGGAGCAGTTTCTGTGATACACATTTATAGTTCTTTGTAAAATTCAGAGTACTTCTCTGAAAGACAGTGGAAGAATATGAATATTTCAGGAATGCAAAAAAGCAAAGAAACGCTGTGATTCTTAAAGGGCGTATGATCCTTAATTTTGTCCTATATTTCGGTCCATTTCTTAAAATGCACATGGCCTGAGAGTTTCTACAAATTTCTGAGTAACATTGGCTCGATTTGTCTCCTTCACTGTAGAACCGCCGTTGGCACTGGAGCAGTGGATCTCTGTTTCTCTATAAATCATGGGCCACTGGAGCTCCAAGCACGACCAATCGCGGTTATTGTGTGGCACTGACTTCAAACACAGGTATGAGAAAAAGATATTGCTATTTACTTCTTTATCTCAGTTCTGGGGACAGACCTCAGGCTGCAGAAAGAGAAAAGATCACTTATGCAAGAAATAGAAGTGTTCTTCTTATTTTGTATCATGAGTCTTAGAACCAGATGAGACCACACTATCTCTGTCTGACCTTTTTCATTGACTTGTAGCTTTCAAGAAATGGAAAGATGAAAACTGTGATTCACAGTACTCCTTTGTTTGCAAGTTCAAAAGCTAAAGTCTCCTGAACAATAGACATCCAGAACTTTATTACTATGGATTAGAAAATCAAATAATACCAACTATCCACCACAAATTAGATACTTTCTTCTGTTGAATTGCAACAGACTTTCACTATTTTTCTCTACCCCAATTTTTATACCCTGACCTAATGAAAATAAAATTGTGTCCTCCACTTGTGTTGTCATCTGTGTTCACTGTTTGTTGCTAATGGCTTGTGTTGCAGGAGGCTGTTTTTGTGTTCTCTGCTGTCCAGAACTGAAACAACCACTCAGAATCTAAATTATTTGCAATACTGTTTTGCCAATATCTTAAGCAAGAATTTCTAGCTTGCTATTATATTGCAAACTTGCCCATCTCCATTAATCTGTGTATTGCCACATATCTGTGGCTTCCTGGATAATGTTCCATCCCCAGCATCTGTCTATGTCAGGGCTACGTGACATCTCAATGATTCTGCCTTCTTTCTCCCAGTATTCAGTTATTTTTCCCTGCCTAGTTCTATTATGCCCTGCTATAAGCCCAAAGCAGTTTATTTTTTTATTCATTAACCAATAAAAGCAACACATATAAATAAGGACTTCACACATCAGCTGGGTACCTGAGCAAAAAGGGAGTCTAGCACTGTCAAGCTTATTCTGGCATAGCTATTGTTAAAAATACAGCCCTCATCAACCATTAGTGCTTTTGTTTGTGATAAATTTGGATCACATAGACTCCTTGTGTTTGCTTAGGCTGTGTTTTGAAGAAATAGTGAATGGCATGGGTATTTTGGTACATAATACATGGGGATTTTACAAGCTTGAGTTCTAAGGAAGCCTTATTTTTGTATACAAAAAATAAATTTGAAGCCATAATTTATTTGAGATTTTAAGGAAAATTGCTTCATGTAAAATATTGAGTGAATTGGTGACCAACATATTCGTAACTAGAAGTACACAGGTCAAGATAGTTTTTTTAAATGGCATTCTTTGGATGAACTAATAAATAAATACATGATGATTTATGTAAAGAAAATGTATAAAAATAGTTATTTTCCTCCTTAAGGAATTTATTCTCCAAATGCAGTCAAGTGTTAGAAATTTAGCAACGTAATTCTGCCTAAGTACCTAATACCAGTAAGAGTATTAAATAAAACTTGACGTAACAATTCACTCTAATAAAAGAACACTTATTATCAGTCTGAATTATAACTATAACCAGACTATATGGAAAATGAATAGATTAAATGTGTAAATTCACATATCTATAGAAGATGCAAATAGTTTCAAAGGAAAATATGGAAAAGATAAGATAAAAGTAAAAATAAAAACATTAAAATTTATTGATATAAGATTACCTACGAATTTTTAATTGTGCCTCTATCATATGAGAGGCAAAATAATGAAGCAATAGTTGAAGATAGAGTTCTAAATATAGTATGTAATAAAAACAAAGTGTAAAATAATATATAATTAAAATATTGCATAATGATTGTGAAAACAACTTGTGCTCACATGGTCCATATCTCAAGATCAAGCAGATATCACAAATTTACAGATCATTTGGTGAGATAAAGGCAGAATTGTAGGAGGAGGACAATTGTTCTTCCCAACAGCCCAGCTAGCTTAGTCCCAAAATCATCACCCAGAAACCATATTAATTAAATCATGGCCCATTAGCTCTAGCTTCTTATTGGCTAATGCTTACATATTAATTTAACCTATCTCCACTAATCTGTTTATCATCATGTGACAGTGGGTTACTGGCAAAGTTTCAGCACAACTGTCTCCGGCAGCTCCATGACTTCTCTCTGTCTCTGCCCTCATTTCTCCCAGAATTCAGCCTAGGTTTTCCTTCCTACCTACTTTGTGCCTTGCTATATGTTCAAAGCAGTTTCTTTATTCATTAGTAGTAATCACAGCCACAGAGGGACTCCCACATTACCTCCACTTTTCTGTTTAAATAAAAAGGAAGTTTTTAACTTTAACACAGTGAAATTACACATAACAAAACAGTTATCAAGCAAGAATTACGGTCACAATATTTATATCGACTTTATCTTTCATCCTAACTAAGGAAAACTCTAACTATAAATTATTCAACTCCATCAAAGACTCCAAAAGAATAAAATATTACCTAAGTAAACAGAAAGTACATTGTAAGCAACTTCCAAAACTCTAGAATTGACAGAGACATCTCGCTGTCTGGATAATCACCCAAAGATTTTTCTATACCGTTGGGGCTTCTGTCTTCAGGCTACTGTCCCATAGTATCCAGCAGACTTTCCCATGAATCAGGAAATTTCAAAGACAGTTCCACCTATATTGACAGTTTTTCAGTCACTTTCTTTTGTGCCCTGCAGGACGTCTGACAGATTCTTTCATGTAGTAAAAACCCAGAAGGAACATCTCAACTTTAGGCAAGTTTAGCAGTTATTTCTCTGCAGGTCTTGCATGCCCAGTTTATCAATAAGTCCAGGCAAGAGCAGTTCCTTGCCCAAATGGCTAACAAACTTTATAAGGAGCCTCTTGAGTACTCATTATCCTCTTGAAGTAACTTAGTGTTGCCAGAAGAAGATGTGTCTCACTGTCATGAAAAGTCTTAAATTCTTAAACATTTTAAATGCCATATTCTGAAGGTTCCTTATCATTTACCCAAGCAATGTGCTATGACTAAATGAAATGTCACTCTTAAAACATTTTCTTTTTGATTTAAGACTCCTGTAAAAATGTATTTAAGCTAGGTGAACAGAGAAGCAAGAGAAAATTCGAACAGGGAATTGAAACAAAGGAGAACTAGAAAGAATTAGAACTTTGAAGAAAATTAGAGGACAGAAAAATAGAAGAATAAAGAACATTAATTGAGCAGCACATGTGTGAATTTATTCTGTATTTCCTCAGAGAGAAAACTTTTAAGGTCAGTTTTGATTCTTTGTGGAACTCTTCCTAGAACTCTGGAGGTAGCCTTGAAGAACTGGACTAGGAAACCTTTAAAAGTTAAAAAAAAATAAAACATGCTACCTGAGTGCAAAGATACCTTTCCCAAAGGAAAAAGACCAAGACTTTTTCCTTTCCTAGAATCTCTTTTGTTTCCTTGTCTTGTTTAAAGATTTAAAGATTTTAAGGTGGAGCTTATCCCAGTTTAGCGTCGCCTAGGTAACAGGCAGGACTACTTCCAAGCTCTACAAGATATGAGTTGTCTGCAAATTCATCGCCCATGTCCTCACTGTCATTAACCAGACTCAAAAGGAAGACCTCAGGAAATTCTACAAGGGCAAAAATTACAAGCCTCTGGACCTGCGATCCAAGAAAACTAGAACCATTCTGCAGTGACGCAGAAGGAGAAGCTGAAGACAAAGAAGTAGCAGCAGAAGGAGAGGCTGTACCTCCTACACAAGTATGTGGTCAAGGCCTAATGGAAAGACAATAAAAAGTGCAATACTGGCAAAAAAATGTGCTAATAAAATCAGTAGACAATTCTTACATGAAGTACAAATAACCAATAAGCATGATAAAATTTCTACCACACTAGCTATCACAGAAATGCAAATGAAAACTGCATTGATATTAAACCTTACCTTAGTCAGAGTGGCAGTTATGAAGAAAAATATAAAAATAAATGCTAGTGAATATATGAATAAAGGGATAACATTGAAATATCTGGTGAGTATGTAAATTCCAGGTACTGTGGAAATTATCACAGAGGTTCCTCATAAAAATAACAATAAGACTTCTTTGTGATCCATCTATGGGTTCACAAAAAGACTCTGAACATATCACAGAGATACTTGACAATCAACATTGTCTGCATTACCAATTAACAGTAACTGAACTATAGAACCAACCTAGGTGTATAACAATAGGTAAATAATCAAAACATATGTGATTTATGAAGGCAATGATTTTTTTCATCAAAAAAGAGGGATAAAGTGCTAACATTCCATTGAAAAGGGATGCAAAAAGATATAACCATTATCTTAGTTTGGGTTCCATTGCTGCAATTAAGCACCATGATCAGAAAACAAGTAGGAGAGGAAAGTGTTTATTCAACTTACAGTTACAAATTAATGTTCAAGCAAGGAAGGAGCCTGGAGGCAGGAACTGTTGCAGAGATCATCAAGGAGTACTGTTTACTGACTTGCATTCTCTGGTATTTTGTGATATTTGTACAACATGTAAAGCTTTATTGCTGTGATGAGTTTAATAATAACCTAAACAGCCAATATCTAGGAAAGAGGTGTATGTAGAATTTCTAGGGGGAGAAAAGAAGAAGAGGGAGAATTGAGGGGCAGGAGAAGCCAGGAGATTTGGAGAGGAAACAGGAGGTACAAGATGTAAGAGCAGTAATGCCACATAATAAATTGCAGATTAATACAAATGGGTTAATTTAAGTTATAAAAGCTAGTGAGTAACAAGCCTAAGCTCTAGGCTCAGTTTTCACAACTAATAAAAAGTCTTTGGCGGGACATGGAAAACTCAATACATATGGTATATAACTCAAATATCCAAACATAGGGCCTGAGAAAGTTAAGTAAAGTTCTGGACAAGGAGTTGATGTGGATGTTTATCCTGCAGTCTTCAGGCAGGCCAGTGTTCAGTATACAGGTGCTACACATAAAGATACACAACTACCAGCTGTTGCCTGTTGGCTGGAGTCAGCTGCCAACACCACTCACCAGCACCATGTGCTAAGCTGAGTCATGCAACAACCAATATAGCAGTTTAAGATTTGTCTCACATGGTCAGAGAACACTACAGATGCTTAGTAAAGCCCGGTTCATACCAAGAAAGCTTCTAAAATTGTATAGCATGCTTACCTGTTAAAGAAAGAAAATAAAATGGGTATAGACAGCCCTAAAAAATAATAAAATCTTCAAAGAAAAAGTAAGTAATATTAAAAGAATAAGTCATGTAAAGATGGGAAATACACAGCATATCTGGATCCTGTATGATACTTTTTTGACTTTGAAATTTTTAAAATAGTAATGTACAAACAATAGAAGCTAAGAAACATTGTATCACAGAAACTGCTAAATTAAACCAACCTATATATTTTAAGAATGTTTTCACTTCAAAATGGAAATCAAAAAGTATGTTGCCTTGTAGAAGATATTATACCTTTGTTTCCACAGAAAACACAAAGTTATGGCTCTCTTTG